GCAAATTCATTTTCCTCATTGGTATTTTCTTCCATTTTTCTTGTCAATTTTGGAGATTTCAGCTTTTTGCTTGATTTCAGAAATGAATGAAGTAGGTTTACTCTCTATGATCCCAAAGCTCTGCTTTTCCCCAGCAGATTATTTCAATGTCCAGACTAGAAGTAACTGTTCAGGCCAGGGAAGCCACAGTGCTGGTTAAAAACTTGCAATATCAACACCAGCCATGAGACTGGTGCTCTACCAGATAAAGATATTCTGAAAATCACTCACTTGTGAAATCTGCCCCTAAATAAATCAAGTAAGGGCTAAACCTCAGTAGAATAATCTTTAAATTTATATTTTGCTACTTTCCTTAGCAACAGTCTAAACTGTACATAGAATCACAGAATCATAGAATCATTTAAATTGGAAAAGACCTCAAAGATCAAGACCAACCACTAATACAGCACTGCAAAACCCAACATCAAATCACATCCCTAAGTGCCACATCTACACAGCTTTTAAACACCTCAGAGATGGGGACCCAGCCACTTTTCTGGGCAGCCTGTTCAACCCTTGACAGCCCTTTTGGTGAAGAAATTTCCAATCTAAACCTCCCCTGGCAAAACTGCGGGACATTTTCTCTTATTACTTGTGAGAAGAGGCTGAATCTCACCTGGCTACACCTTCCTTTTCAGGGAGTGTAGAGAGTGACAAGGTTCCCCATGAGCCTCCTTTTCTTCAGGCTAAGCACCCACAGCTCCCTCAGCTGCTCCTCACGGGACATGTGCTGCAGACCCCTCACTGAACCTCATGGACAGAAACTAAACTTGTAGAAGCTGGATACAATACAGAAAAGCCGCGTGCAATTGGTTATATTTGCATCTTTTCTCACTCTGGGACTGGGCACCAGGGAAGGAAAAAAAAAATTACCAAAATCTGAGTTTTCAGATGATTAAACCCAAGTTAGATTCTTAATGTTCATCACTGCACCTTTTGTGATTTGCCACAATAGGATTTTATTAAAGAGATATCTTTACCTGATGTCTGCTCCAGGAATATTTAGATAAAACTTCTGCTTTACAGAGGAGCAAATACAGCTGTGAGGGCTAGGTGGAGGCTGAGGTTTATCCAGGAGGTGCAGATTACTTGGTCCTAAAACCACTGAATTAAAGCAGCTGAGACTGGAAACTCAGTTCCACCTCTAGCTCTTTTTGGGGAGATCATGGCATAATATGCAAAATTATGAATAAACCAGCCACATTCATCTCCCTAGCTGTGTTGTTATGGCTTTCCCCTCCTTTTCCTCCTACTTTCAGGTCTGAGAAAGCAGAGCCCTCAGGGAAGCAGTCATGAAAGCCTTTACCACTTGTTTCACCGCATGGTTCTTTTGGTAGCACACTCAGAGAAGGGCTTGTACCAAGGCTACAGGTGTACTTCCCTGATCCAGAGGTGCGGGATACAGTGCTCTCAGTGACCCTCACCCCAATTTTTTTTTCTACCCCAAAACAAATACACAAAATCCCTCCTTAGCCATCTCTTTGGAACTAGGGTTTTTGATAAGCACACAGCTATTACCCTAAATCTCACACTTCACAGCAGCCTTGGTGTCTGCCAGCACCCAAGGACACTCAGAGGGGTGGCTAAAGCAGCAGCCCTGCTCTCACCACCAGCCCTGTAACCTCAGCCATGGCACTGTGCTCTGGTGCAAAGCACAGCAGCATTGACCACAGGGGCTCCTGGTGCAGACTCCTCTGAGGTCCCATCTAAGCACATCCTTGACAGTTTGCTCCCAACAGCCCCACAGGCCCCAGACAGCCCTCAGAGGATAAGCTGAATTATCTGCACCTCCTACCTCATGAACAATTCCTGGCTGTGCCAGGAATTTGCTAATGATGAACATGATCTAAGAAATGTGAATAAGAATCTGATTCACATGTGGTAGCTTTGCAAATATGGATATCCTCACATGATAGGATGATTTACTCTCTCTTTTAGTCTAATCTTTGTAATTTTGCCTGGTTTTGGAAGGAGTCTGAGTAGTCTAAAGCATCTACTATATAGATACAGTAGCAAAGCTGATTGAGCTCCATTTCTTAAACAGCTTTTTGGCCACCCCTCTTCCACACTGCAGGAGCTACCAGCTCAGTCATGTGGCTTTGCACATCACTAAAAGGTGGCCACAGCTGTGACATCCACACTGCTACTCTTAATGAGAAAGAAGGGGAACAGACCCAGGCAGAGCCCTTCACATATCCACCTCATCATAGAATGGTTTGGGTTGGAAGGGGCTTAAAAGATCATGAAGTTGCAACCCCCTTGACATGGGCAGGGACACTCTTCACTAGACTAGGATCACAGAGCTCCATCCAGCATGGCCTTGAACACTGCCAGGAATGGGACACCCACAACTTCTCTGGGCAACATGCTCCAGTGCCTCAGCAACCTCTGAGCAGAGAAAATGTAAAGATTATATAATCTCCAAGCTGCCTACAGATAGGAATTTTTTTCTAATTTTCTGGGGTAAACTAAGATTTTGTTCCTCAGTACATGTTAAACCCATATGAATGCAAGTCACCACTTGGTCTTTTGCCCAATTACCACAGGAGAGCAGTCTGTGTGCAGTTGCTCCATTGCTTTTCCTGTTCAGTATCAGTGTGGGGGAAAAGCATGACCAGGCAAAGGGAAGACCAGTGCATTTCCACCAGGCTGCACATCAGTGATAACAAGATTCATAGAATGGGTAAGGTTGGAAGGGATGACAGTGGATCACCTGGTCCAGGCTCCAAAGGTTTCCTAGATCATGCTACTCATTATTGTATTCAAACATCTTTTGAATACCTCCAGTGAAGGAGACTCCACACTCTCCCTGGGCAGTCTGTTCCAGTGCTCAGCCAGCCACACAGTAAAGTTCTTCCTCATGTTCAGGTGGAACTTCCTGTGCATCAGTTTCTGTGCATTGCCTCTCATCTTATTGCTTGGCACCACCAAGAAGAGGCTGGAAACACCCTCTAGTCACCCTCCTTCAGAAAGCAATACACACTGATGAGATCCATTCTGTCACCTTTTCTCCAGGCTAAATAGGCCCAGCTACCTCAGCCTTCCCTCATGAGAGAGATGATCCAGTCCCACCATCATCTTCACTGCCCTCCACTGGACCTGCTCCAGTAGCTCCATGTCTCCTCTGTACTAGGAGCCCAGAACTGGACATAGCAGCTCACCAGGACTGAGCACAGAGGAAGAATCACTTCCATAAACATGCAATGCTTTTTCTAACACCATGTGCCCTCTTGGCCACAAGGGCATTGCTGGCTCACAGACAGCTTGTAGTCTACCATGTCTTTTCCAACCTTAATGATTCTGTGATTCTGTGATGTGCTCCTCTCTATCCACTTGTAAAAAGAAATGGTTCCCAAGTGCATGGGTGTCTTTATTCCAGTTAGAAGGGGACTACTGACAAACTATGTGGAATTATGCAGACACAAGCCTATTGTATCCTTTGGAGTATCTCAAATTTTTAGCTACTTAGTGTAAAGCACAGAGCTATGAACAAAAATTTTTTCTTCATTAATGCTTGTTTAAGCTAAAGCCCTAGGATTAGTAGTGCTACAAGTATTTTAAGACAGTATTTTATTAATAATTAAAAATGAAAACTACTTAGTCTAAATTCCTTTTTGCCCTTTCATTAAGTACTGCTCCATGACCAGACAGATGCAGGTTCAAAGTCAAAACATTTGCAGCAAACCTCTCCAAGTTCAGTGAGAATGTGAATTGCCCCTGCAAGAAGCAGGAAACTGCTACACTGGCACAGAAAATATGATGCACTCTCACACCTCTATTTATCTGCCTCTAAACAACATGATCTTCACAGGCACAGAATATCACCAATCTAGTAACATTACCAAAATAAAAAAAAACTAAAGAAAGCTCTAATTTTGGAAAAAGAAAAAGATATCTATCAATTCCGATTTGATATATGCAGCTGTCTACAGAATCACAGAATCAATGAGGTTGGAAAAGACCTCTGAGATCATCAAGTCCAACCTATGACTGAAACCACCACGTCAACCAGAACATGGCACCAAGTGCCACCTTCAGCCTTTCCTTAGGCATCTTCATGGACAGTGACTCTGCCACCTCCCTGGGCAGCCCATTCCAAAGTCTAATCACTCCTTCTGTGAAAAAGTTCCTCCTAATGTCCAACCTCAATCTCCCCTGGCATATCTCAAGGCTGTGTCCTCTCCTGTTGGTGGCTGCCTGTGAGCAGAGGCTGACCCTCCCCCGGCTGCATCCCCTTTCAGGTAGGTAAGAACACACAAACAGGTAACCCTGTGTTTATATGCGAAAATACATCTACACAAGTTTGCTTTTCTAACATCCTCCTTGCCAACCAGCTCACCAGGGATATCTTTATTCTGAGGTGTTGGGTGTGCCACACCTTTTTTCTTTCCCCTTGTTTTTTCAAACTTTCCTGGCAAGTTACAGCAGGGCACCTGAAATCAAGCTGTTCAGAACACTTCAGAACAGATCTGAAGCACAATTTTGTGATCTTCACAGGCAATGAGACACTTTTGGGGGTCATCTCTGTCTCTGGTATAGCAATGGAACCTCTCAAGCTGTAACATCCATTATGAACAAAACAGGTAAGTTACAGGGAATGGAATTTTTCTGACCTTAACAACAGAAGACAAGCACTTATCTCTTTGCACTACATCCACAAGGTACATGTGGCATTCTTAAAATATCTTTATACTCAGTTATGAGTAAGACTATTCATCCTACACCCTAGTTCTGCATACAGGAAGGAACAAGCTCATAGCAAAAGAATTTTTTTCAGCAGTGGGAACAACTGCACGATGATTATCTTCCACCCAGTGTGGGATTCCATGAGAGATCACGGATGCTCTGGCAAGTGTTGGGGCATTACTACATGTTTGTGGAAGTCTCTCAGCTTTTATTAATTAGACTCCTGACAAAGCAGTAAAACCCTGTAACAGAAAGCCACACTGCTCATTCCTGAATCATATGAAACCATTCACCATTTTATGTACAAGTTTTGAATTACAATCTTCAACTCCTCATCAGAAAAAATAACAAACCAAAAAGCCTAAAAAAGCATTTTTGGAAGAACTGCATAGTATACAGAAGCATACTTCAATTACAAAATATCTTACAGAACACAGACTAACAAAAAGCAGAGCCTGTTACCTTTTCTGAGAAGGCAGTGCCCAACCAAACTAGATGTTTCACCTCCATTATTAGAGGAACAGCTTTAACTGAACAGAAGAGTACATGAGAAAAGTTCCTGAACAGTCCAAATAGTTTAACAGAAGAATAAAAGCACATTTGTAAACAACTTTAAAACAAGAGCCTTATGAAAACAATAAAGGTCACTGAAAGTTAAGCTGTTAAAACTCTTCTTAGCCCAAGCTGTCGTGTTTTACCCTTAGAGGTTTTTTTTATGATAATTTTTTTCATATGGAAAACCTCAGTGAGAAATCTGGGCAAGTATTTTTGAAATTTTTAGTAAAATTAAGAAAAGGACAATTTGAAGGCAAAAAGTCAAACTCCAAATTTCTTTTGAAAATTAGGTGATAAAACCAAACTATTGATTGAAGCCAACAATGCATGGTAGGACAGCACTTATTTTATAATCTGAGACCCTTTTTGATGTAAACCCTGGAAAATCATTAACAATTTGTAGAAATTACTTTTGTATTATGTACCATTAATTTTTCACTGCATTCACTTCGATTATTCAAACCTTGCCATAAAGTGACTTTTCACATACAACAGATTGACCTTAAGCATATCTCTTTTACTACACAGCAAAAATGTAAAAACTGTCCTGAGAAATGATTTTGTGTATGTAACTATCAATGCCTCTGAAGTTGAGCATCAGTATTTATGCTGCTCTACTTAATGCTTCAGCATATGTTAAGTAAGCTGCTGATCACTGAGTGTCTCCATTTTGGTAGATAGACAGATGTATGTGAACAGCAATGCTTTGGATAACTTGTGCTATTCCTAATACTAGAGTTATTTTCTCCCTCAATTACATTTTGCTATAAATATGTGTGCCCTTAAGTTGATCCCAATATCAGTTTCAGCTAACTAATCAAATTATCTGTTAAGGTTTTGGGAATGAGAACCCTTCCTTTATTTAAATAAATCGAGGGAAAGGTTTCTAACTCCCAAAGCTTTGCCAACAATAGATTTATTTTCAAGACAGGATGTTCAGTAAGTTGTTCGTCCTCTTTGCTGTTCACAGATCAGCACAACTGTAGTAATAGTTTTTATCAAGTAGGCAGGACGAGAAAGAGAAAATAGTATGAGGTTTTTCCCCTTAAGGTTTTTCCAAGTTCTGCTCATGGGTATGAGTAACTATTCATTTGAAATAAGTGTACTTCAAATTTCAGATTAGTTATCTTTTATTTATAGGGCTCAGCAGCTAAACTTCAATTTCCTATTTTAATTTTGCAAACAAGTGTTATTAAAACCCTGCCTGTAACTGAGAACATCAAGAACTTATGTATTTATATAAGGAGTAATTTACCATTGTATATAGAAGTGTCTCATTTTTGTACCAGTTAAAAGTTAATACATAATCCAAATAATCAATCTTCTATGTAAACAAGTAATTATCTTCTCCTATGTAATAATGGTAAATATCAACACTGAGCATTACATATTCCACTCCACCTCATTAAATGCAATTCTTCAGTCACAAAGGCAGCAGGCATTCTGTAAATGAGCTTCCTCTGAGCTATGTTCAAATGAGTGGAATAACTGAGATTCCTGATGGAGATCTAAGCTATTTCCCTCATTTTCTTAATAGTTTCCACTATTCGAATACTCAACTCCATTTTATAATTTGCTATTTAAAATAAAGTAATTTCCCCACACTCTTTCCCCACTCTATCTAAAACAAACTTATTTACATTTATGGTAAATGCTTTTCATCAAATAACTTTAAGAAAAAAAACCTCCTGAAACAAAATCAATAACGGAGCAAAAACATAGAGGGAGCAAGTATTTCAAGTAGTGTATTAATCTTCTTTCTGAATTTTCTTTCAAAGATTCTACAGGGACAAAAGTTTTAAAAGTTTGAAACACACTTTTACATATTTTGATGATATCTCTTTTACACAAGGGATCAATTCTGTCCCATGTATAAAGTGTAAAGTGTGTATTGTGTAAAGTGATCACCTTCCTAACTTCTGGCCCGTATTTAAATAAAACTGCATGCCATTCGCCCCAAGAAAGTAAACAAAATACAGCCTTTTACTTCAAATATTTTATGAATGCAAGATTACAAGAAATATATTAGTCAAAATGCAGGGCTATCAAGCACTGAACTGAGAATGCTGGCATCAGCTTGCCTACCATTTTGCATGTGGAAAAATACACTGTCTACAGGTAAAAGGCACCACTAATGCATCATGAATTACTCTGATCAGCCAACATCACCTCTGCAGCTTGCTGCATGTTTCAGTTTATTATGAAAATAATCATCATAATAATAGTTTGAGATGAGACACTGGAACAAAACCATTCTTAAACAGGAAAGTCTTTTCTTTTTTGCTCTTACTGAGGCAACACCAAAAACTAAAAATAAGTTCTCACAATTTAGCAGCCTCCTCAACACTTGTTAGGCTAGCCTTCACACAAGGAGCATGCAAACAGCCACTCTTCTTGCTTTAAATTGAGGGCTATTGGTTAATTCAAGTCACTGTTTTTTCACTCTATTCAATTAACCTGTTGAACTGGATTTCACCTAGGAAAAAGAAAATTAAATGATGTTAAGTGTAGCAGACACATACAGATCACACCAAGAAGCTAACACTCATGAGTTGTCATAATAAGGGATAATAATATCAATAAAAAAAAAATCAGTCTTTTCTGTGCATATTTTTCATTTGAAAGGTCCCAGGAAATCATGATGTGCCTGGCCGCTTCTGTTGCTGATTTCTGATGACCTCTAATTGTTTTTTGCATTGCTGATAGTATGTTGAGAGACTTTTGTTTTCATCTAACAGCTTTTTATGTTCTTGTACCAGACGAGATGTATTTTGCTGGTCTTTTTCATCCTGGTCCAGTTCTGCTATTAGTTCTTGTCTGAAATGGGAAAAAAAAAGTCATTGTCATTTATGTTCTATTTTCATTTGTGTGTAGATGACTTCATATGTTTCAAATCAGTATTTGGTTATCAATCTGAACTTACAGCTGGTGATATTCTGTGCAAAACAAGTTGTCAAAAGAATGTTATTCTTTAATGTAGTGTGGGGAAAAATTCCCTTCCAAATCAAATCCACATTTAAACTTTAAAACAGCTGAGGACTGAGCCTCAGTCTCTAAACCTGTCCTTCAGATAATGTCTTTCAGATGTAGTTTTACAGGTCACAGTAAAATACCTAAGGAGCCACACAAAATTTCATGAATATATTCAACTCCAATTTTAGATATCTATACACACATTTTAAATCTCTAAAAGGCAACTTCAAATGGAAAACTGCAGTAATTTTTGTAACTTTTTAGTAAAGTGCTATTTTCTATCTGGACTTGAACTTATTAAAGAGGCGGAAAAGTAGAATCAAGGAAATTACTTCTGTAACTGGCATTTCCCATTATTTATGCTGTAAGTGTTCAACACGTTTTTTTAGCAAATATTTTAGAGGCCTACACACACTGATAATCTTGTTATAATTTATTCTGCAAAACTGATGTAGCAGTTTGTTTTACTATTTTGTTATGAGGTGACAAGAAGGAAAGCTGCCAGCAATATTTTTGCAACAAAATAGCAAAGGAGAAAGTTAATTAATTGTTGCCATATGGTTTTTAATTACAGTTAAAGAAAATTTAGTAATTATATGAGGTTTGAACTAATAACTATTTAACCAGAATTAAATTCATCCATCACAACAACTTTTTGTGTTTTAACACTTATGGACAATTACATTATAAGAAAAAACAGTTTGGAAGAAATGTGAACACAAACTTCCTAGAAAAAAAACCAGTAGGAATCTAAAAGCAGAAAATTAACAGTTTTGAAATAAATACATTTTAAATGATTTACTGACCATTGGGGACAACACAAATAGAATCAAAATGAAGATATTAACTCTAGCATCATTATCTCCTCATCAAATCTAAAAATCCTAGTTACATGTTAAAAAACCAAATTGTTCACACAATACTAAGCCCAAAGTGAATATGTGACAGGAGTTCAATCTTACAGTAACATTTTCCTCCCATTCTGTATGCTATTTCTACTGTACAAAAGGTACACACATTTTTCTAATTAGCTAATCCACAAATACCAAGGCAAGATCCCTATTAACAGCTGCCAGTGGCTTGGACACTGGTGGGTCACAAGCTGATTATTTGGTCTAGTGTGTGACTATGACCTCTGAACTAGTCCCCAGCATCAGGAAACAGAACACAACAGAACTTGTTATGCACTCAAATTCTGAATCAGCAATAATTTTTGACCTAATACAACAATATGTGCAGCTGCTTTACTTATACATGTAAACACTGCAAGAGGAAAGACTTTATTTCCAACACTCAAGGAGAAGGCACATAACAGCTTTTAAGCATCAGGTCCTCAAGCCATAGCAGAAAAATCTAAGATGAATGTTGATAATACAGTTGTAAATGCAGTGCTTGACAAAAGTCACAGATATGATTAAAACTAACTGCAAAATGAGTAACACTGACATATTACCCAAAATTCTATAATCCGTTAACTAAACAATTCTCTATAAATTACAACTGTAAATAGTTTAATGGACAGTGTAGCAAATACAATTCCAAGGTTCTTTAACAGTTCAGGTGCTTCATTTGAGATGATAGAATCAAACATTACCGGTTCGTTACTACTTATGTAGGACTTGTCCAGAAGAAGAGTCTAGATATTGATTAGAACTTTCAATTACTTGCTCTAAATATTTCATCTGTACTGAGCAGCTCAGTATTCCTGAGTTTAAGGTTGGAAAATAATTATGCCCTACGAAATGTTACATCATAATGCCAGAAATAATAGTCACAGTGACTATCATTTACTTTTTATTGTGTATTTTTATTATTATACACAGACTTTGTGGATAGGAAAGACATAGAAGAACAGAAAAGGTTAAACACATTTCACTTACTTCCTCTGCAAGAGCAATGCGATTTCTGTCTGAACTTTCATATATTCTTGTGCCATTTTGCAGTGCTGTTCAAACACAGCCATAGATTCTTTGGAGTTTGGGCATGGTGCTAGAGGCTGAAAATAAATCAGACATGTAAAAGACTAATGAACTGATATCTTAGTAAATAGTGTGTTAGAATGTCTCTGCAGTGTATTTATAACAGTCTTTTAAAAACCAGTAAGCATTTAAAAATAAGTGTTAAACCATCCTGTGGAAAATATTACTGCACCGATGTCAAAGTTTACTCAAATCTGAAGTTTTTAATCTGACACTTGTCACAAAAATCAGAGCAACATTTAATATCACACACAAAAAATAAAGTGTATACAACAATTTGATTCAGTAACACTCAAGCAAATAATGTCTTATTTTGACAGTCAAACTCAGCTTATATTTGGTTTTAGGGATCATGTTTCCCAGGGCTTGTTTTTAATAGCTTGATCAAACCTGAGTCAACCAATCTCAGATTACATAATATATTTTTTTTAGCCTTGGTCAAAAATTAGACAGAACATAAACCCAGGTAAATATGTGGCACTATATTTTGCAGTCTCCAAGTCACATGTTAGAATGAAATGCAAACATGAGAATCTAATAAACTGTATATTTATTACCTGTAACTGATGATCTAATGTGAGATATGCCATTGGGATGGAGTTATCTGACCCATTGGTCTCTGTAAAAACACCAAGAAAACTTTAAAAAGTTAACTTTAAAAACTTTATTTAAAAAGAGTTAATTCTATTCTTACAGGACAAAAACAAGAAGTCTAAGTAATTACACAATACACAATCTGAATGTGGATAAGCAGATGGAAATAGCAGCGTTCCAATCCCAAGGCAGATGAATCATTTTGTTTTTCTGATAGTTAAGAACATCAAAAGTATGGTCTATCACATCAAGAAAAAAAATTATGGTTACCAACCTACACTTCTAGAAGCCATGTAACAGCACACAGATTTTAAAAACACCATTTTTGTACAGTTTGCAATCATTTCTGTTTATAAAAAATTTGCCATTTCATTCTTGTTTATGAAGGATCAGCCAGCCAGCCCATGCATCTAATGATTTTAAAATTAGAAGCTGTGCAAATCAGCTCTGCCAAAATAAAATAAGCACAACCTCCTGCTCAGTTTTGAAACCTGCTCCCAGTGAGGTCTCTAAGTATCTTCCTCACAACATGCTCTAGAGCATCTTCTCTGCTCCATACAGACACTTTGTGGGTAGCAAAGAACCCAATAATTGGTCTGTCTCCTGGGCATGGCTGCTCTCTTCTTACACTGCAGTTGCTCTGGATTTCTCTAGAGCTTTCATTCCAGATTTAGTATGTTTCTGCATTCTTATCTTTCAGTAGCCCACAATCTGGGGATCACAAGGTTACTGTTAAGCTTTAAGAGACACAGGAGTAAAGACACATGGAGAAACTACTGATTTTACAGCCGCATAATTGCTACTAGAGGATTATATGGAGGAGGGTAGGTGGGAAAAAAAAGGGGCTGCTTACCCATACCCCAAAAGCACCTGCCACAGAGTAGTCGTGGTAGAGAAACTAAGGTGTTGCCCTCAAAGACTATGCTATTTCCAAGAGCAGCTTCAAAAGGAAACAGAAATAAGAGGGTGGGAATGGAGAAAAAGTGGTTAAGTGTATGCTTGTAAGGAAACTGGAAGGTGGTAAAAACAAAAAGGGAAAAGAAAAAGGAAACAACCCTAAAACCAACCAGAGACTTAATCACCATGGTATCTTAAATGCAATCAACATGAGAAGTCCTTCCCTACATTAGACTATTGCCATATACGGATATTGAGACAATGAATTGCCATGCTTCAAAAATACATCACTACATGTCAACGCTTCAGGCAACATTCCCAAGTGTTTCAGCACCACATCACAGAACTGAAAATTCTCCCTGATTGACCAGATATGGCTGCATCCTTGTTTTATCACTTTGCTTCATTAAATTAAAAACATAGCATCTTTTACAGAAAACCAGTATTATTTCTCTCCTCAGAAATTTGAACAATTCTTTGTGCATGGCCTACATAAATCTAACAAGAAAAAATATACATATGACACATTCTGTGTTTACCTGACTATAAGGTGACCAATTTCTGTGGGCCAGAAAACAAACTTGACTTTTAGCTCCAGTGCTGTGCTGCATTTAAGACCAAAAACTTGGCACAAACTTTTGTTGCACTGGTTTATGATTTGCAGCTTTTGGTTTCCAATGAACTCTTGACTGGGTAAGAGCTTGCTTCCAATGCAAGGCAGCAATTCCCATTAGTGCTCACTGCCTAAAGCAACTCAGGGTCCATGCTGCACAAGAGGGCCCAAGGTGGGCTGCAGCAGTGGGAAATGGCTTGGGAAAGTTATGAGTGACAAGCCACTGACTTGTGGTCAGGCAAAGCAACAAAGGACAGAAAGAAGAAAATAAGGAAGCAAAACACGAGAGTGT